GGTTATTTTGCTCCTGCATGCAGCACCAAGGAGCCCGTGGCCCAGCTGGAAGAAGCACCGTGGTTTTCAGCATCTGATTTTCTGCTGCTCATGAAGCACTTTGAGGCTGAAGGAGAAGCCGGCGCTCCTGCAGCTGAGCTCACACGCTGAACGCAGGACAGCCTGTTCCCCCCAGGACCTGCATTTCAGAGCCGCCGGGTCACGCACCCGGGCACAACATGGCACAAGCCCCGTCCTCGAGCTCAGGCCCTTGGGTCGGGAACGCGGCAGAGCTCAGCCGTCCCCTTCCTCCCGGCTGCCGCGCCAGCGGGCTCCCAAATTCAGCCGTCCTGAGTGAATAAGATGCTCCTAAACCCAAGATACAGCAACAAACGCAGCACGGTGCTTCTCACCGAAGCGGCTGCTGCCAGCGGGTTCCTGAGGATGACACCGATGCCAAATAAGTCGTCACTGGTGCCGCTCGTTTCCTCTTACGGAGAGTGGAAGAAAACTCATTAGTGACCCCGAGCTACTTTTACCGCTCTGTTTTAGGCCAATTCCTCCGTCCTTGGAGGCTGAGATGCTGCTGACAGGAGCTGTTTTAGCCACAGAGACCCGTTACCTGGGAAGGGATGCGGGGAAAGCGAGTCATCTAAGCCCCACACGAGTATTTAAACCGTGCCCAAGGCAGGCCGGGTCCCTGGTTATTACAGCAAGAGGGCTCGCCGTAGCTCCGCCGATCTTTCTACAGACTGTTACAGCCCAGGACAGGAGTTTGACAGTAAGTTTGGATCTGCCCGGCCTGACATGTGTCTTCAGGAGGGTCTGACGAAGCAGGCGGGAAGGGAAGGAAGGAAGCAAACGCAGGGAGATGCATCCGCTCCAGCCCCACGCAGACACCCCCTGCATCAGAGTTATACATTGGCACCTGAAGTGGAGGGAGAGGCAAAGAGGAGCAGGAACTCAAAGCGCAAGCTTCTAGGAAACAGCTCATCTAGAAAACAGAGGGTGAGCTGAAGGTTAACAGGGAAAGAAAACTCCTACGAGCTGCAAATAAAGCACTTGAGGTGGATCAGTAAAACCCAAAGTCGGCACAATTAAGGAAAATTAAGGCAGAGTAAAAAATCCTAAATACTGAGAGGGGTAACTGAAGCCACGGGGACTTCACGCAACTACTCCCCGTTGATATGAAGCAACTTCAAGCCAATGCAAACGGCCGGGCAGGCATGAGGCGGTGACGGCTCCTCATGCCTCCGAGCAGCGCTGTGTGCCCCGGCCCGGGAAGGAGCCCTGACGGCTTCCTCGGGGGAATTAACCCCCCGGACCAGGCACAGACACTGGCGGGGAAGATTAAAACCCAATCCTGGAAGAGAACGAGTGGCTGACGATACGAGAGCCAGCACCTAAGGAGCCTCGTGCTGAACTTCCATGGAGCGAATAAGGAGGGGAAA